TTTTGAAATCTCAAGGCACTTTGAACCTCTTCTGTCAAGCAGCTTGTCCTTCTGTGTCTGAGGATATTAGCCTTTCCTTGCTTGAGAACTATCCACTATCCCCATAACTAGAGTCAGATATCAGTATGCTCCAGGGGAACAAGTACAAAGTCTGACCCAGGAGGAAGCAGCTTATAAACAAAAAAATTGCAAGATTTTCCTAATTTACATCAATATAAACCTGGGGAATATGTATAGGAATGGATTTTAAGGAAGATGGAACATAACATTGGATTACACCAAATGTATTTTTTTTTTAATTTATGATAGTCACAGAGAGAGAGAGAGAGGCAGAGACACAGGCAGAGGGAGAAGCAGGCTCCATGCACCGGGAGCCCAATGTGGGATTCGATCCCGGGTCTCCAAGATCGCACCCTGGGCCAAAGGCAGGCGCCAAACCGCTGTGCCACCCAGGGATCCCACACCCAATGTATTGATATGAGTGCATTTACCAGAGGTTCTGGATTTAATGTGTTAGCTAATGAAGGTAGAAATATTCTAACAATTTCATTTATCAGTTGACAGAGACTTGGGCTCCATAGGGACCTCCTAATGAGACTGAGATACCAGAATATCCCGCATCATAATGTAGATGAAGGAAAGTGTGGGGAGATAGGGATATTTGGAGTAATTTTATCATGCATAGTTTACACATCTCTCAACTACATCCTAAGAGGATCCAGAGAATACTCTGATCACCAACATGCTGAAAAACACATTTGTTTGTAGGGTATGTACATCCTTGAGAAGTTCCATCATGGCTGTAAGCCAAGTATAATTATGGGAAATTTCAATTTGAAATACTGTATATTTTCCTCTAAGTCTTCCTCAAAGGGACCTGTAGGCTTTTACTAGAGTGACTATGTGCTAGGGAAAAGGAAATACCCAGACCTTTTGGTGATTATCAAACATAGGCTAATTGATACTAATTCCTGGGTATCCATATCACTGTAGTCTACCAGTGAAACTGGAGGCTTTGATGAGTCAGGTATCAGTTGGAGTCTTAGCCCAAATTTGAAACACAGTGGACCCAGTAGGGTTACCCCATTGTGTGGTTATATTTCCAGTTCTTGAATACATGTAGCTAGAAGAGATATATGTTTAAACATAATAGAAATTCTTGGCAACTGGCAAAACCCTTACATTGGTTTTTTGACCCATAGAATAAGAACCCTAATGGTAGAAAGAGGGAGCATCTACAACCTTCCCCTCTTATCAGGACAGTAAACAAAATGAATGGCATATCTTCAGGGAAATTGCAGACATTAGTGTTCATTACCAAGATTTGGAAAGATGTGTGAGTGGTCATACCTATTACATTCCCACTTAAGTTGTCTTTTTGTCCAGTGCAGAAGGTAGATGTTGGCAAGTATCTGAGGGTGATCATAAAAAATCGGGTGATTCAATATAGTGACTGAATTATGCTGATTGGACCTGATAAGCAAGATATAGTAAAAAATATGAGATGGCTGAGTAAAAAGCCTGCATATATTAGATAGGATTCAATTCTTGATACAGTAGGGAACAATGGAGGAGAAAATTTTCTGGGGTTGAGGGGATAATGTTGGGTTTAGTTTTATACATGTTAAAGAGACTCAGTCATTCAAGTAAAGATGTTCAGGAGACAGTTGTATAATCTGGAGCTCAAGAGAACATATGTGAGGTAGATTTGGGAAGTGTTGGCAAAATGACGAATCATAAGTGAAGCTATATGGTGGGATGAAATTATTTTGTAAGAATATATAGAATGAGAAGAGAGACCCAAGACCGAGCCCTGAGGAATGTGAAACTTCATCTTAAAGATCTAAAAGGGGGGTGGGGATCCCTGGATGGCTCAGCGGTTTAGCACCTGCCTTCGGCCGGGGGCGTGATCCAGGGGGGTGATCCTGGATCGAGTCCCACATCAGGCTCCCTGCATGGAGCCTACTTCTTCCTCTGCCTGTGTCTGCCTCTCTCTCTCTCTCTCTCTTTCTCTCATGAATAAATAAATAAAATCTTAAAAAAAATCTAAAAGAGGAAGAGCCAGCAAAGCAAAATGAGAAAAAGCATCCAAAAGACTAGGGGTATTATTATTACTATAATAATAATAGTAATTATTATTATAAACACTTGTGAAGTATGTACTATGTTCTAGGTATTTTACCTGTATTAATTCATTCAATTCTCACCAAAACCCTATGAGGTGGGTGCTATTGAAATCCTCATTTTATGGATAAGGAAAATGAGGCGCAGTATTGTTAAGTAAACTGCCCAAGGTCAGAGGCAGTGTCTGGCTCGAGGCTCAGCGTTTTTACCTGGTTCTATTCTATGTATGTTAAAAAATGTATTAAAAACCATAGATAAACGTGTATGGATATGGATATATACATACATATATATTCATGTATGTATTCATATGTGTATGAAGCATGGCACTAAATACAACCTCTGAACTGTTAGCAATTGCTTTCTTTAAAGGGTTGGTAGGAGAAGAAGAGGGGAAGATACTTTTATGTGCTACAAGTCTATTTTGCTTGTTTGCTTTTGTTATTTTTATACTAAGTTTTTCACAGATGTTTCCCAAAATATAACTTTCTAGTTATTTTTCTTTTGCTGCTAGCAGACATTAGTGTCTGGCCATTTTCCCTCGTTGTTAAAAAGTTATTCATTCAGCAAAAACATTTAAATTGTGCTAGGTGTCCCTGCTTGTCCTTGTCCTTAGGGAACTCACTGTCTACTGGAACAGACTGACATGTAAACATATAATTCCAGAGCCTCTGTAATGGGGATGTACAAAGATGGGGTGGCAGGGGCACAAAGGAGAGATGTCAATTCTTTGGAGGGCATGGAGGGCAGTATGAAAGAAGGTACTCAAAGAGGAGGTAATACTGCCTAAATACTAAAGTAAAAGTAAGAGTTCTTCAGGATAGGGGAGAGGAGGGTGAGAGAAAAAGCCGCCCAGAAGGAGGGAAAAATGGGAGTAAAGACACAGAAGCAGGAACCCACATTGTTTTTCAGGGGACTGGGCATAGTTTAATTTAGTTGCAGCTTCTGTAGGGAAACGTGAGGAGCGCCTCTGGAGATGTGGGCAGAAGCCACATCCCCTAAGTCCTTGTGCGCCATGTCAAGAACTTCATTCTGTTTACCAGTGTTTCCTAAGGAATATTCGTGGAAAAACTAAAAAGATATGGATCAAAAGAATGGAGAATGGAGTACACAGAATGGAGTATTATCTAGCCTTAAAAAAAAAAAAGTTCTGGGGATCCCTGGGTGGCGCAGCGGTTTGGCGCCTGCCTTTGGCCCAGGGCGTGATCCTGGAGACCCGGGATCGAGTCCCACGTCGGGCTCCCGGTGCATGGAGCCTGCTTCTCTCTCTGCCTCTCTCTCTCTCTGTGACTATCATAAATAAATAAAAAAATAAAAAAAAAAAGTTCTGACGTATCCTAAAAGCTGATGAACCTTGAAAGTATTATGCTAAGTGAAATGTCAGACACAAAAGGACAAATTCCCTATGACTCCACTTCTATGAGGTACCCAGAATAGTCAAATTCATAGAGACAGAAAGAATAGGGTTACCAGATGTTGGAGTGAGGAGGAATGAGAATGACTATTTAGTGGTTACATAATTTCAGTTAGAGATGATGAAAAAATTAGTGGTGAGCGTTGCACAACCATGTGAATGTACTTAATGCCACTGAATTGTACTCAGTGGTAAAATGATAAATTTTATACTAAGCATATTTTATCATAATAAAAAACAGGTTGAAATGGCAAATTTTATGTTATGCACATTTTACCACAATTTAAAAATACGGGATAAAATAAAAAAGACGATAGAGAAATAATTAAAAGTTTTTTCTTTTTTGACATTAAAATTAGGTATGTCATTTCTTTGTTCAAGCTGATAATAATGGTTTGTTTCCGTAATGTAACAATGGCTGTCACTTACTGAAAACTAGCTGTGCACTAGTTTTACATCTATAGAGATAAGGAGAGGTCAAGTGATTGGCCCAAGAGCACGCGGTTAGCGAGAGGGCATTTCTAGGATTCCAGTTCCCAAACCTTTGCTCTATCACCAATCCCCAAGTTGCTTTATTATCTTACTACATTTTTAGACATGTCTACATTTTTCTTAAGCAAGTTTTCCCTTGATCTGCAAAGTATTGTTGGGGGTGGGGGGTTCCTAGGCTCAGAAAAGGTAAGGAGCCCGACGGAATACAGAATGAAATGTTGAGTGTCCCCCCCCCCCACTTTTTTTTTTTTTTAAGATTTTGTTTATTCATGAGAGAGACAGAAAGAGAGAAGCAGAGACACAGGCAGAGGGATGAGGCTCCATGCAGGGAGCCCGACGTGGGACTCGATCCCGGGTCTCCAGGACCACACCCTGGGCCAAAGGCAGGCGCTAAACCGCTGGGCCGCCGGGGCTGCCCTGAGTGTTTCCTTTTATCCACATGATTCTTCCGAAGGGCGTTTTGACTTTCTGCAAGGGAGACCAAGAGCCCCCAAGTGGGTCTCGACGCGTTCACACCCGAGGACGACTTAGCCAGCCACCTGTCACCGACGGGAGGATCGTTCGTACTTTGGCTGCGACTGTTATCCGGAGAATACGGCTTCCGGGCCCCCGCCGCCAGCCTCCCCGGCGGAGGGGACGCGGCGGCGGGGAGACCCGGCTGACTCGCGCAGGCGCGAGCCGGCCCCCGGCGCCCGGGGCTGTGCTGTGGCGCCTGGCGCCCCGCAGCCCCCGAGGGGGTCGGCCCCGGCCTGCCCTCCCTGTGCGCCCGAACTCGGGCTCGCCGCTGCCCCTGCTCCAGGCCTCCCCGGGCCCTGTCCAGGCCACCCCGGCGCGGCCCCTGCCCTCTGACCCGGCGTTGCATAATGCCCGAGCAAAGTCCCCGAGCGCGTGAAACCCGGCGTTCCTGCCCTTGGGCGGGGACGGGCGGCGACCGGGCGGGGAGCCGAGGCGGCGAGGGCGCAGCCGGCACCGTCCTCCGGCCCGGGCGCCGCGAGTCCCCCGGGAGCCAGCACCGCAGGCCCCCCGCGCCGCCAGGCCCGCCCGCCGCTCCCCTCACAGGCCGCCGCCGCCGCCGCCGCCGCCGCCGCCGCCGCGGCCATGGCGGAAGTTCATAGACGTCAGCATGCCCGGGTTAAAGGAGAAGCCCCCGCGAAATCCTCCACACACAGACATGAGGAGGAGCTGGGGATGGCGTCGGCCGAAACGCTGACGGTGTTCCTGAAGCTGCTGGCCGCCGGCTTTTACGGCGTGAGCTCCTTCCTGATCGTGGTGGTCAACAAGAGCGTGCTCACCAATTACAGGTAGGGCCGAGGCGGCGGCGGCGGCGGCGGCGGCGGCGGCCAAGGCCGTGGGGAGGAGCGCGCGGCGGCGGCGGCGGCGGCGGCGGGGCGCCGGCCCCCTGGACTTCGGCCGCTGAAGTTAAAGCTGAACAAAGTTGGGCGGGAGCTGGGGAGGAGGGCGGGCGGCGAACGCGCGGCGGGGCGCGGGGCCGGCTCCGCGCGCGGGCCCGGGGTGCGGCTGCGGGTGCGGCGCCGGCCCCGCGCGCGGAGCTGCGGACGGTCCCGCGCGCGTTCCGCCCCGCGCGCGTTCCGCCCGCTGTGGGAAAGCGCCCGCCGAGCGGCGCCCTGGAAGGAAGCCTGGCGGTTCGGAGCGATGGAGCGGAGTTGCCCCGAGACTTTTGGCTCGTGGGGTGTGCCGGGGTGGGAGCCGAGCCCCCCGCGCAGTCGGGGCCGAGGGCCGGGGCTTCAGGGTCCCCGAGTTCGCTGACAGCCCCTGGGGACGTGCGCATGCATCCTCCGGCTCGTTGAGGAAGATTCCGATCCTGTCACTGGGACCCTGAGGCAGAAGCAGAAGCATTTTTGTTTTAAAAGATGTGAACCAAAAAAAAAAAAAAAGAAAGAAAAGAAAAACCAAAAAATAAATAAAGATGTGAACCATCGGGGAGACCTGCATCTTCCCTCCCTTGAAACATCCGTTGCAGGCAGCTGACTGAAAATTGTGGACTCGGACAGGATGGGACAAGTGGCCGCCCGAGGCTGCAAAATCAGCGGTGTTGCCTGACAACCAGCAAGGGATATTTTTTTCCCTCACGTTTTCATTTGGTTAAGGGGCAGGCGTTGGTGTTTGTTTCAAAATGCATTTTAAGGTTGCAGATGTGCGAATTGAATTCACAGAGCTGTGTTTGGCATTCTCTGACCCTGTATTTTTCTCTCTCTCTCTCTCTCTCTCTCTCTCTCGCTCTCTCTCTACCGTTTTGTAGATTTCCCTCCTCACTATGTGTTGGACTTGGCCAGGTTAGTTGGAATCTTCAGCATTACGTGGTTTATGTCGTTAGAACTTCTGTGTGTGTCTTTATATGTAGAACAGTGAATCTGTGTTCTCTGTTTACAGATGGTGGCCACAGTGGCAGTTCTCTGGGTGGGAAAGGCACTCAGAGTAGTCAAGTTTCCTGACCTTGACAGAAATGTACCTCGAAAGGTAAAAAAACAAAACAAAACAAAAAACAAAACAAAAAAAAACTTTATTTTCTGACAACCGTTCTATATTTTTATCAGTCCTCTGCATATTTACAAATTGCAGTCTTGAAATCACCCAGAGTGGGTGTAGTGAAGGCAAAGAATAAATGGAGTAATATGTATCTTAAAAAGTCCTACCAATTCTTTAAAATTAAGGGAAGAAAGCCCTCAGAAATCTTGTGTTGTTTTAATTAATGAACACTTGTTGGGAGTATAGCTGTTTTGCATTTTCTACATCCATCTAATCAGGTCAGTGTATCCTGCATTCATTATTCCTTGGGTTTGTTTTCTTACTCTTCTCTCTGCCTCTGCTTGACTCCACATGAAGATGAAATACCTTTCCCTTTTCTGCTGACATTAGAGCCATGGGCTAATACAGTATCATATTTTAGAGCAAATGATGTTTCTATCTCATGTGATTTGATCATATTCATATTTCTGTTTCTTTTTTCTTCTCCATTCTTCCCTCTCTCTGCCATAGTAGTGCTGTTTATCCAGGAATAATGTTTTTTGGGTGCTTCATGGGGGCCAAAATTGTGTATGAGTTCTAATCTTATGTTTTAAGCAGAAAGAATTTGATCATATAAACGAAACTGTTATGTTTGAAAGGACTTTGTTTTAGCTATCTTTATTATTGAGCTCTGTTATCCCTTTTTAAATTTTCTAGACGTTTCCACTACCTCTACTATATTTTGGGAACCAAATCACGGGACTGTTCAGCACAAAGAAACTGAAGTATGGATAACTTTATTTTACTAGTGAGGTTAATATGTATTCTTAAAACTGTACTTGAATGTCAAATATTTAACACATTGTTATTGATTCTGGAAAATATGAAAGAACCAGAAAGCTTTTGTTAGTAAATAAGATTACACCAAAGGTTTTAGTTTAAATTCTCTTAAGTTTGAAGAGAAAGACTTTTTATGTGTTTTGGGTTTTTTTACCCCCCCTTACTTTATTATAGAAGTCTTAAAATGTTGCAAATTGCTTATAGGAGATTTTCATTATTTTTCCAGACCTATAGTAGTGAAGACTATAGGCTGGGCTCCTGGGATTTTAATTCTTTAAATACAATTTATAAATACTATATTTTAGGCAAGTTCCCTAAAGCCAAATCAGAGGGTGGGTGTGAGAAATTTTGTAGTTTTTCTTTGAACATGATGTAGTTAAAATGACATCAGATGGAACTCTGATACAAATAGGATTAATTTTATACCTATGATCATATCACTGTAGAGGCAGCATATTCACTTTTAGAAAGAAGCAATAGTTCTGTGCTCTGTGACATTACTGTTTTATTATCCTCTAACCTCCTAATTCTTGGCTTCTCCACTTAAGGAGTATAGTGTGTAGGTGTTTGTGATATTAAAATTATACACATGGAGGTGTTTGTGATATTAAAATTATACACATGGAGAAGCCATTTAACAGAAATCCATGGTTTCACTACTTCACTTAAGCTAACCCCTTGGCATATTAGATGATTATAAAACAGAATGGGGAGATTTCTGAGGATCAGAGACAAAGCATTTTTCATTTCCTCTTTCTTCAGACTCAAGAAACCTTGCAGAGTAACCATAATGGTATCTCTGGGAGAGGGTTCATAGACGTCAGATTTATCATGGGTGGGGCATCCTTTTCCATCTCACTACCCACTTGGAAAGAAATGCAGACCTGCTGCAAAGTGCTGCTTGTATAGAATTTGCTCTTTTTCATCCACTGTCATGCACTTAGTCATCCATTCATTCATATCCTATCTTTGGTTGCCATCTAAGTATAAGGCCCTTTGGAGTGAGATGAGATATATTCAGAAATAACTATATTGCAAGAGGCTGTGTGTTGATTAGTGCAAGCAAAGTGCTCTGGTAATTTAGAGGAAGAAGAAAGTACTTCCACAAAAGGACAATCAAATATTTCATGGGGTGAGATTATCATAGATGCTCTTTGGAGGGTTGGAGATGCTGTGATTGGGGGGTGGGAAGTAAGATCAGTCTAGTAAAGAAGGAAGAAAGGAATCTTTTTCTTTTAAAAACTAACATGGTTACTGTTCAGGGGATTTGTATGATAAGTAGTGTAAAATAAAAAAGTGGCCACACTAGTCTTTGATAATAGCTATATGATCTCTACCACTTTTTATAGATAGCTTGGTGTTTCTCACTTCTAGTAGTTTTATAAAAGCAACTCTTTCAGGCTTTCAAGTAATAATTATTTCTAGAGAGAAATAAAAGCTGAATTCAATCACAGATTAATCAACAAGGAACAGAATTAATCAGCATAATGGAAGGAAGAGATTAGCCTTATTTTAGGGTATTTATATGGAGAGGTTTAGTTTAAAAAATAAATTCTTAAACTTTATTTTAACGAATTGTATTTTTCCCCCTTTTTTTTTCCAGCTTGCCAATGTTTACAGTTCTGAGAAGGTTCTCCATCCTGTTTACAATGTTTGCTGAAGGAGTTTTACTCAAGTGAGCCAAATTTCTGATATATTTAGTCCTAAACAGACCTTAGTCATCTTGAAAAGGGTCCCAGTATATGCGAGATAGTAAAATTATCTGTCTTGTTTCTACTTTATCTTTTGAGAAGTTTATGCACTTATTTTTTTTACTGTAGGAGTTGATAGTTTATGGGAGGATTAGTTGGGAAGATTATGAATTGAAGTTGGCATTTGTCTGAACATGAGATACACTTTCAGGAATTCCTGTACCTAATGGTGCCATTGGGTGCTGGGTCAGAAACATCAGTATAGGTTTTATTTTATTTAAAAAAAATTTTTTTTTCAGTATAGGTTTTAAATAGTATTCCTGTCTTAGCTATTAATATTACAAATGTGTGTGACCTTTTTCTACTTAAAGAAATTCTGATTTACAAAGATTCAAGCTCAATAATAATAGTAAATATAAGAATGAGTATACTTTTTTGTTTAAGTTTTTGCTTCATCAAAAGGATTCTTTGAAATATCCAATTCCTTGAAAAAATTTAAAATATGATGTTCATAGCTTTTTAAAGGAAAACACTTTTTCTGTCTATGTTGTAAGAATGAGTCTCTGCAAATAACTAAAGACACATGTATGCACTTTTTAAATTTTATTTTGTAGGAAGACTTTTTCTTGGGGTATTAAGATGACTGTATTTGCAATGATTATTGGAGCCTTTGTAGCTGCCAGGTAAGAATGTATTAAGACCACATTGGAAATTATCAATAATTATTGATAATAATCAATTACCAATAAAGAGAATTTTTATAGGCTAAGTAAGAATCATGTCTTTGAAAAGCATCCGAAAGACTCTTTGGAAAGGTAAATCTTCTGGGCCATATTAAGGTCAAGGCTGGCAAAACCTGATTCTTCTACTTACTGAGCACATACTATATGTCACGTAGTATGTTTGGCATTTTACACGTATTTATGCATTCTTTACAACACCTCTGAAAGATATGGGTATGATTTTCCTATTTTTAGTCGAGGAAACTGAAAGCTAAGTTCAGAAACTTGGTCAAGGTTACACAGCTAGTAAATGGCAGTGCTGGAATTTGAATTTGTGTCTGACTCCAAAGCCTGTGTGCTTTTTAAATCATGTGCTATTCTTTTATACTTTACATAGTGCTAAAAAAATAGTGTCTCAGAAAAGACCAATGATAATGAATTATTTGCCGTGTGGTGGAATAATAAATAATAGAATTTCTTTATTTGGCCTCACCTAAGATCTATCACAAATGCCGTAACTTAGATCTATTAAATTACCGAAGCTTTTTTCCATTGTGCTTAAGTTTCAGTTTTAAAATGCAGGGAGAAAGATGTATGCCCAAAGACTCCTAAAATTAACGTGATGGCTAGAAGCTTTGTACATTTTACTTAGCCCGGGGCAGGCATATATACGGGTTTGCTAATACCACAGATTCTGTCCAAAGTAGATTTTCTGTCTGGGAGTTCAGTGTGCTTCTTGGTTTGGCTCATTTACCTTCATCATTCCTGTGGTAGAGACGGGTGGAAATATTCTAAGTCAAATTCCACCCTAAATCTCCAAGTAAAATTTCATTCTTAAAAAAAAAAAAAAAAGAAAAGAAAAGAAAAGGAAAAGGATAGAAAAATTGGTTACTAGAATTTAGTTATATAGCTGACTGTTTTTCCCTTTAGGTAATATCACCTTCTTGAAGAAATATTTTATATGAGCCTTTAACCTCTTTGAAGCATTTCCTTAAAGCTGTGGAATCCAGAATTGAACCAAACAACATGAGTTCCTCAGGGCCAACCCTGGCCTGCAAAAAGTTTCTGAGAAGGCTTGCTCTCTGGATCAGCCTTATCTAATCAGAACCTTTTACTTGGGAAGGAGATTGGGCAGAGGGAGTCTGAAGTTAGAAGGTTGTCAGGCTGCTTGGAAGAGGGGATATACATTAGGCTAGTTCTGCCTAAAATTGCAGGGACACAGAGTTCTTCAGATGTCGATTCCATGTACTAGTTTAGCTAGCTTAGTTAGCTAGTTTTGCACAATCACAGGATATTGGGCCGCTTTTTAACTAGGGTGCTAAAGTATACTGAAGGCATAGATTTTCATTATTCAGTTTACTAAGTTTTTATCTTGTGTCTGTTGCTCAGCTAAATACTAGAAGTCTTCAGTTTCCCAAATCCTGCCAGTTATATCTCATAGGCTTTCTAAGCAACCGTTTAAGTAATTGAGTTCCTGCTATGTGCTTAGACACTACTGTAGCTTGATCTCAGAACTCACTACAATCTATGCTTCCGAAATTCTACATAGTAACCCAGTCACCTGTACAGCTTGCCTTTTGTGTGAATGAATCTTTGGAAAATGACTTGTTAACAACTTCATTTTTTTGGTTTCCTTCTCTTTGAAATTGAGCTCTGATGCCTTCTTCCTGCTTCAGATATAATTATAATGGTGAATTTTACTTGTTCTTGTTGTCTGACTTTGAATTCAGAGCAGCGTGCTGTTAACTGACATGATCAATTATTGCTAATGATTGTGTTTAAGTATTAGTATTTCTCGTTTCTGAAGATTTCCCTATTGAGTATGAAATTGCAAATTATCACCAGGAATCAAGAAATACTAATAGCCGATAAAATGCCTAATGTTCACTTACCTTGATAAGAATATGTTCTTTCATTTATTGAACTTCGGACCTATTTAAAATTACATGCTTGTTCTTTAAATGTAAGTTATTAAAGTGTGTTTGTGTTTTACAGCTCTGATTTGGCATTTGATCTGGAAGGATATGTTTTCATTCTGATAAATGATGTCCTGACAGCAGCAAATGGTGCATATGTAAAACAGAAACTAGATTCAAAAGTAGGTAGCAGTCTAAATCTTTGAGAGATGTTTACTGATGTTGGGAGTGGAAATGTCAATTTGTCAGGAAAAAAAGCAGGGAATAAAGAAAAATACTTTAGGAGAAATGGGAAAGATGTAGGGATCTCTAAGGATACAATGCCTGTACTTTGCTATTCATATAAGGAACTTTTTCAGTTATAAATTAGCAAGTAGATTTTATTGTTAGCTTTTCTGGAAGAGATTGAGTGACTGTTGACTTTGGGAGAGGGGTGTTCATTTCAGAAAAGTGTCATAAATGTTAAATGTTCATGGCTGTGTTCTAGAGGAGTTGGTGAGGGACCTGGACAAGAAAGAACTATCTGGAAACCCTTGAGCAGAATTGAGGAGAAGTGAGTGTCAAGAGGGGCTGCAGAACAAGAACAGACTTTGTGTATTTGTCCCACAAATAATGGGAAACTTTAGGGAGCATTAGGATTGCTCTCTCTTAGGAATAATACTGAGTTCTTTGGCCTAGATCTCATATATATGAACTTTACATATCCAGCTCTTTTCTCTTAACTTGCATCATGCACACAAAGGCTTTACAGATATTTTTTGTTAGTCTATATACTTTGAATTATATACATATTCAATTTTAATTTTAAGTTAAGCCAGGCCATCAGAAAGCAGAAAATTTGAGTCATACTGCTTTCACTGCATTATGGTATAAATTCGCATTATTGTAAGCAGCTACATGGAACACCTACCTGGGTGGCTCATTGATTGAGTGTCTGACTTTTGGTTTCAGCTCAGGTCACGATCTCGGGGTTGTCATATTGAGTTCCATGTGGGCTCTGCACTGAGTGGGGAGTCTGCTTGGGGTTCTCTGCCTATCCCTCCCCACCCCCAACTCCCACTCCACTCAGAGACATGAGCTGTTTCTCTCTCTTAAATAGATAAATAAATCTTTAAAAAAAGCCTCTGTGTAGAACTCAGCTGCATATATCATAGGGTTATTATTGTTGAAGGAGCTGTCCTTTCTATTATGATGTATCCTGTGTAAGGACCCACATGAGATTTCATAGATGCTACCATAGTTTTTCCTGAACAGTGGTGTATTTTTATCTTATAATTAAATCTTGCAACTGACTATGACTTTATCTTATTTCCTTACCTGTGTTTTCTAAGCCACATGACTTACCCGCTTTGTTTTTAGTCTGCTCTATTTATGTGCGTTATTTCTAAAACTACTTCAGGTCATTTTTTTGAGTTGAGATCATAAATACTAATGCCCAACTATTCAAAAGTAGTATTCGTGTCAAGTTGGTATTGTCTTGGCAGGGGGCTTTTCCTTCTCCATAAAGAACCATAGAGTGAATGTCCATCCCAGTAGCTTTTGTTATTCTCAGAGAAGGTTTATTTTGAAGCTCTTTGAAGAAATAGGGTCAATGTAGATTGTTTCCAAAAAATTTTCCTTAAGTATAACTTTGTGTTTTGTTCTCAATTTATTTGTCTTGACAATTTTGTATGATGATTGTGTCTTAATTAGGCATTTTTATCTTTTTGAAATAGCTAGATAAAAGGGAGCAGTTGGAAATAGTTGTACTCTGTATTTTCCTCAGCCCATTTGCTGCTTTGGAAAATAGGTACCAGTAATAACATTTGGTTTGTCCAGCAGCCTCACCTGTATAAAACAGTATTGTCCAATGGAATTTTCTTTGATGATGGAAATCTTCTATATCTCTACTGTCCATTAACAGTAGCCACTAGTCTCGCGTGGCTGTTGAGCACCCAATAGATGACTGCCACAACTGAGGAACTAAATTTGTTGTTTAATTATAATTAAATTGAAATAACTGAATATGGCTGGTGGCTACAGTACAGGATAGCACAGTCTAGAGTACATCTCTGACTGATGGGGCGGGGCATCTCTTGTTAAGGTTGTTTTCTGTGGGGCATCCCTGGGTGGCTCAGTGGTTTGGCGCCTGCCTTTGGCCCAGGGCGTGATCCTGGAGTCCTGGGCTCGAGTCCCGCTTCAGGCTCCCAGCATGGAGCCTGCTTCTCCGTCTGCCTGTGTCTCTGCCTCTCTCTCTCTCTCTCTCTCTCTCTCTCTCTCTCTCTCTGTCTCTCTCTCTCTGTGTGTGTCTGTCATGAATAAATAAATAACTAAATCTTTTTTTTTTAAAAAAAGGTTGTTTTCTGTGATGGTTTTTCTCTTGCTGCTTTAGAAATGAGGCACATCTTTTCATTGATGCTTGTGGTGGCCTTGGCAATTAGTTATTTGGTTTATCTGAAAGGCAGTATGCCTGCCCCAAGATGCTGTTAATAAATTGGAAGTGTTGGGCACCTGGGTGGCTCAGTGGTTGAGTGTCTGCCTTTGGCTCAGGTTGTGATCTTGAGGTCCTGGGATTGAGTCCTGCATCAGGCTCCCCTCTGGGAACCTGCTTCTCCCTCTGCCTATGTCTCTGCCTGTCTCTCTATGTCTCTCATGAATAGGTAAAATAAAATCTTTAATAAATAAATATATCAGAAGTGTTATTTCCTATAATTTCAGGACTGCTTAAATCATGGTTCTTTGAGCATAAGTCAGGTGGCATAAAGATTTAGTGCTACATTTAACAGAAATGTTAAAACATTTCTAACTTTAAAGAAATAATACAGATAATACACATTTATACACATTTATAATGAGAGTAGAAGAAACATATAAGTAAGGGGAAGAAAATCTAAATCTCCCTTAATTCTACTATCAAGTGAGCAGCACAGTTTTAGAGGATAAGTATGTGTATGTGTATGTAGACACTTTGTAAACTTCTAAATGAAAAGCAATATATAATGTTTTCTGATTTATATTTTTCAGTACAGTTTCATGAACATCTTTTCTTGTCAGTATCTAACATTTTTAGTGTTTGCATAGTATTTCATTGTAGTATCCTCATCTAATCAAGTAGTTTTTTATTGTTGGATATTTGTTTCCAGTTTTTCAAAGTGGCTTTTGAGAAGGTAGTTTGACTTTTCATATCATTCAATTCTCTCACCACAGAAGTTAGGGAAATATCATGCCCCCATCTTCACTACTCAGTACTTCATCCCCCTGTTGCTCTGGTCAAACTCTGACCTACCTTTTCAGGTGACTGCTTCTGGCTGACTGTCTTAGAAGACTGTGAATTAAAAGTGGGAAGTGAGCCCAGACTACTTATAGGCTCCCTATGTTGAAGATGTATGTGGTTCTTTTGTTCCTTCCCAATAACTGAGGGCACAACAAACTATACTTTTGGGAATTGTATATAGAGTAATCTTAATTTTCATTGTACTTCACATATATTTTTGTAAATACTTCACTGGCAAGTTATGTCTATCTGTGTTGGCCTAGGTGTGAGTGTATGTGTTGGTATCTGCCTATCTCTCTTAAATGGGACTTTTTTATGGTTCTGAAAAGTTCAAGACTGACTTGATTTTTTATTTAGTTCTGGATAGGAAAGGGTCTCAGGATTGTGTTTTTATAGAAAGACATGTATATATTCAAAATAACCTCTTCCCGGGATCCCTGGGTGGCGCAGCGGTTTGGCGCCTGCCTTTGGCCCAGGGCGCAATCCTGGAGACTCAGGATCGAATCCCACGTCGGGCTCCCGGTGCATGGAGCCTGCTTCTCCCTCTGCCTATGTCTCTGCCTCTTTCTCTGTCTCTCTGTGTGACTATCATAAATAAATAAAAATTAAAAAAAAAAAAAACAAAAAAAAAAAAAAACAAAATAACCTCTTCCCGGGACCCCTGGGTGGCTCAGTGGTTGAGCATCTACCTTTGGCTCAGGGCATGATCCCGTAGTCCCAGGATCAAGTCCAGCATTGGGATCCCTACGGGGAGCCTGCTTCTCCCTCTACCTATGTCTCTGCCTCTGCCTCTCTCTGTGTCTCATGAATAAGTAAATAAAATCTTAAAAAAAAAACACAAAGAAACAAAACAAAACAGAATAACCTCTTCCCTGCTTACTGTTTTGAGGTAGCTAGTTGGTGTTATTTTTTATTTCCCTGATTTTAAGCACTCAAAGAATTTACTTTGTTTTTTTTTTATTTTTTTTTAATTTTTTTAAAAATTTTTATTTATTTACGATAGTCACAGAGAGACAGAGAGAGAGGCAGAGACACAGGCAGATGGAGAAGCAGGCTCCATGCACCGGGAGCCTGACGTGGGATTCGATCCTGGGTCTCCAGGATCGCGCCCTGGGCCAAAAGCAGGCGCTAAACCGCTGCGCCACCCAGGGATCCCAAAGAATTTACTTTGAATTAATTTAAAATCTTGTATGTTTGTGTGTTTTTTTTTCCTTTTGAAAGCTTAGGTTCCTTCATGTATGCCAAACTTATGACTTAGCTGATTCACTCTCTGTATTGTGGGGGAGGGGTGTGTGTGTGTATGTGTGAGTAGTAAGAGTGGTATTCTGTATAAGGTTGTGTATTTCTTTCTGCTAGAACCAAATGAAACACCTAATTATTTACTATTCCAGGAGCTGGGAAAATATGGTCTGCTCTATTACAATGCACTGTTCATGATTCTGCCCACTCTGGCCATTGCCTATTTTACAGGAGATGCGCAAAAGGTAGGACTTGCTAATTATGATATAATGGCTTATTTTTTGAGCTGTATTATTACTTATGTCCACAAGATAGACTGTGGGGTTGTTAAAAAGGGATGTGCTTCTTGACCAAAAACAGAGTTTATTTTTTTAGCTTGCTAATGTCATGCTAACCTTTTTTCTTGGCATAAGTATTGGATAGTACTAAAATGACTCAAAATAGCTTTGGCTGTTAACATAAAAAGGGTGCATGCCAACTAGTGTCCTTCTCTTACGTGTCAAAAGGCTAGAGGAAGGGAATTTTTACATTTCTACTAAACTACAAAGTAAGAATAGTGGTATATTATCCTCGAAAAACAAAAAACCCTTAAACTAGTAGAATTCTTCAAACCTAAACAGAATGCTTGGCTTTCTGGAAGTTCTCTATTGTGTTGTACTGTTGTCATGCTGGTTTAAATCCCAAACTGAGTTTTTTCCTCGGGAGATATTTAGCACCATGTGGTAACTTAACTGTGTAAATAGCAACTATAGTTTACTCATTTTCTAAAATGATTACCTGAATAAACCCATAATAGAGTAGCAAAATGAATCTATGTAAGAATTTTTCTTAAGGGGAAAAAAAAAGAATTTTTCTTTAAAATAAACCCATATTCATAGGAGAAAAATTGATACCACTTTGTTAGAGTTCACAAAATTTTACAAACTAAATGGAAACCTAGAATTTTGCCAAATTTCTGTAACAAGATTTCATCTAATGATGCCTCTGGCTAATAAATGTGTTGGTTATTTACTCTTATGACAGTGACAATTCTCACATATCAGTGGCAGCCAAAATAAAGAAACGTTTTGCAATTAGATTATTAAAAAATTGTTATTCTATCAAAGATAGGAAAAGACCATATAAAGCTTATAAAGGTGCTTTGTTTTATTAATAAAAAACTGGTATAGATCATCTTGAACATCTATAAATGCTTTAGTGAACTGTGACCTGGCTGCCAGCAGATCTAAAAGTGACTCCAAAGTAGGAAATGGAGCTGTTGCTCTGTCTAATAAAGAGTGTTGAATAAGTATTTTGTGACTGTGAAAAAAGTGGGAAGAGAAATTAGTATTTATTGAGTTCCTATTATGTGCTAGTGACTTAATAAATAATATAAATGTAGTCCCCACAACAGTTCCAGAAAGTTTGAATTATCTCTGTTTTACCAATGTGGAAATAAGGGTTCGGAAAGACTTGGTCCCTTGTCCAGTGCCATACTTGTCCAGTGGATAGAGTCAGGGTTTAAACTCAGGCCTACCTCCAGAGGCCCTCCAGAGGTCTTTCCATGGTGTTCTTCCTCTCTCTAGGCAGGAAGCACCTCTTACTCTTTAGCTTTGGGGCAAGAATGTAATGTAAAGTAACCAGGCCCCACATGGCAGCCTGGCTAATTCCAAATCTTGAGGCCAATCTGTACCTGAGAAAGTTGGAAGAATTAATGTGGTTAGGTATTTTATAGACTTGGCAAAGATACGATTCTCATTAATTTGAAACTTTGACTAGTAGCTTGTAGCTACTTGAAAAAATTGACCAAAGGAGATATTTCTTCATTCCAGAGTGATGATCATTTAACTAGAAGTTATCTGCCAGGTTATAGCGTAATTCACGCATATATGAAAGTTCACTAACATTCAACTGGAAATGCTTCAGTTTAATTGAGAATGTTTTCTCAGAGTGAAAAAGTTGCTTTATCACCTATATGAGGATAAGATTTAGATTTTCCTCTTATTCTTTTCTTCTTTTTTATGCAGAAGAGTAGAATTTGAGTAATTTTTTTGTGGTTTCCAACGAAAGTGCCAGGCCAAGGTCAAGAAAGGCTTATTTTGGAAGAAATTTTTTTAAGAATGACAGAGGTCACCTAAATACTTTTCAAATTGGTATGATAAACTAGTGGAAGCTGAATTTATTTTTCTGTGATCAAACCCTGTCAGTGTTTTTGGTTTCACATTAATGTTTATCCTCATTCTTATTAATATTGTTCTTATAAAATGTTTACTGGGGCCACACTGGCAGTCTCACAATATCATGCTTTTTTTTCTTAACATTCTCTTCTTTACATGGTATCATTCTGACATTCTTAAATAGTTAAGTGTTACTATACATCTTGCAGTTTCAGGCTTAGGTGATAAGAAAAAAAAAAGATGAATTAGATGGTTTTCTTGCCTTTGAGGACCATACAGTTGTCTTGGGGAGTAGACATGTCAACATCAGGGCAATAAACAGTTGTAAGTTCTGTGGGAGAAGTGTTTTTGGGATATCATGAGATGTAATATGGAAGTGGGTCAATTTTGTCTCCTTGTAGGGGATGAGATGCCTCGTGGAGGTTTGCCTACAAACAAAATTAAAATATAAGTGATATGAATAATCAGTGTTGTTTTGGTAGGCTATAAATTACATTTGAAACTTAGGAAGTGAGAATTCTGTTTGACTCTGTTCCTGAATTCCTTGCGTGCTTGTAAGACACATTACTGCAATTTCATTTTAAGTTCAATACAGATGAGTATTTCTGAGCATCTTCATTATGCTAAGAAAGCTCTATGTTACGTTCTCTTGGGAATATATGAGAACTATGACATACTCCTTGTCATACAAGGAAAACTTGGCATACTACAGAGATGGCATAAAATCCAGCACCAAAGTACCTGCTTGTCAGTCAGTACAATACATATTTAGGTTCGTAAGAAATTGGTATGGGTTGAATATCAAGATTGGCTTTTTAGGGTTTGGTTTTCTTATCTACTAACTGCAACAAGTAATGCTAACCTGTTCTGGGAGTGGTTAGAGATAGAACTTAGGTAGTTGAGTGATTTACTTTTATTAACCACCACAGAGACAATGTGTGGAAGCCACAGATGACCTGACACATCTAAGAGGCTCATTGTTCCATAAGAGGTCACAGTTTTACTTCCTCCCCTGGAAGATTCAGTTTCATAATAGTCAGTAGGCTGTCTGTCTGAAGTCATGGCAAAAAGGGTTTCATATTACAGAAGGGATATATGGCAGGATTTGGGGTAAGAATTCTAGTAAGTAGGGTTCATTTTCATTGTACCTTTTAAACTTGTGCTTTTCCTTCAAGATACATATGTGTATAAGTAGACATTCCTGTATGTGCATGTATTTTTCTTAAGAATGAACTCTCTTCATGAGACAATTTATCATTAAATAAAGCTGTTCCCATATTAACAATTTGAGGCTACTTTTGGCCTTTAGGAAGACTTTACTTACAGGGTATGATGCCTTGTATCTGACAAGATACTTTCGCATAAATCATTTTCCCTGATTCTCATTGCATACCTATGAGGTAGGTTGTTATTTGATTTATAGAGGTTAAGGACATGGTTAAGGCTCCGCAGTGGCAGACATTAGAACTAGAATCAGTCTGACTCCAGACAGATCTCTTGCTGTTAGCATAACTACAACTCTCAGAGTCATTTGCTACCTCTCTGACTTATATTTTATCCCTGTTTGGGAGTTTGTGCAGGGCTTTCTTACAGAAAAAGCCACTGAATGCGAGAAATACCTTCAGAGTAGTATTAGAAGTACAGTTTCTGCAGCTTGGCCTTGTTGTTACTTAATCTTTTACAAATAATCATATTGCTTTTGTTCAACAAATATTTACTAAGTGTTCTGAGTGCTTTACTCAGGTGCTGTTCTAAATTAAAAAAAAAAAAAAGAAAAGAAAAAGAAAGGACAAAAGACCTGTCCCTGCTTAAAGGAGCTTGCAATCCATTGGGTGAGATCAACTAAACATAAATTGTATAATAAGAACTATGAGGAGAAATAGAACAAGGAGGAGAGTGATTGAGGAAGTGCTACTTGGGATAAGGTAGTTAGGGAAAGCATCTTTATCAGTTTCATTTGAGCAGGCATTGAATTGAATGGACTGAGAGTAGTTTGTGTGGCTCTTTAGAAGGAGTCCTCTGGTTGGAGGGAAAAACAGGTTCTAAGTGCTAAGGTAGGAGTGCTCAGATTGTTTACAAGAAGCATTTTTTGAGTAGGTGATTACCTGGAAGATCAAGGTGGGCCTTGAAGGATGTGGAGGAAGAGAAACAAAAGGTATGCTCCAGGTGGAACTAATACCATGAGCATAGGCATTGCTCTTCAGTATGCTTAGGCAGTGGCAGTCAACGACATTAGAGACCTTCAAAGAGACCTTAGAGTACGTCTGGTTCAAACTTCTTTCACAGTTGGGGGAATTGGGGCCCAGAGAGGGCTCAGACTAGAACTCTGATTTTCTGACCATGACCATTATTCTCGCTTTTCCCACCACATCACGCTCTTCTTTTATCTAAGTTGGGACGAGTGCTAGATATAGGAATTTAAAATTTACTCTGCAGATATGATGAGTCCCTAAGAGTTTGTGATATAAGAGGTACAATGGAAACATTGGGGGTGGAATGCAGAAGCAGCATCTAATTAGATGAAACAGTTAGTAACATCCAGTTCTGTCCTTGACCACTGCCTGATTTTGGATAAGTCCCTTCTGCTTCCTCACACTGCTTTGTCATGTATAAACTGAGTAGGTTATATCAATGAGTTGGCTAGTTTTTTAGGTAGGGCCCCTTCTGGGCTGAGACAGAATTTCTGAAGAGCAGAAGACCTGCCAGTGTGAAGACTAGGCTGCTGCTGTTCTGATGGTTGGCGTGAGCCCAGCTGCTCCCTGACTCCTGAATACCGATGCTTATAAACTTGCTCTCATTTGTTGGACTCCTGGCTTTCTTGATCCAGAGCCATTTTGCATGGAAGCTCTGTATGTGTTACGTGAAAAGATCAACAAGGTAAAATTGTTAAAGCACGGTGTAAAATTGTGTTATGGTATACTACATTTTGAATAAAATAGAAAGGGAAAATAAGACTATATATACATATACATTTTATTCACTAATTTAAGTAAAGAGACTCTGGAAGAATATATATGAAACAAATAAAATAACCACCAATTCCTGTGGGAGAATGTGTGTGAGAAGAGAGTAAGTATAGAACAGGAATG